TCTCTCTCTCTCTCTCTCTCTCTCTCTCTCTCTCTCTCTCTCTCTCTCACACACACACACACACACACACACACACACACTGGATATATATACATTGGATATATTTGGATCCTTAATGGATCCATAACCTTAGAGGCCAAATGCCTTTGAATTGTGTCTCCTACATAAGATTCCTCAAGAGTCACTATTTTGGTGAAATTAAGAGTCCTGGACTGAGACACTTAATACCTGGATTTCTAGGTTAACCTAGAAATTAATTTAATTTAATTTCCAGTATAGTTAACATACTGTTATATTAGTTTCAGGTGTACAGCATGGTAATTCAACAATTCTCTAAATTACAGAGTTCATCATGATAAGTGTACTCTTAATCCCCTTCACCTATTTCAGCCATCCCCCACCCACCTTCCCACTGGTAACCAGCAGTTTGTTCTATAGCTATAGTTAAGAGTCTGTTTCTTGGTCTAAGTTAACTTTGACTGATTCTGGAGTTCCTGTGCTAAAGTGTGGGAGAGTCAAAGTGCTAGAAACTCAGTTTCATTTTTCCTGACACATCCTGATTCTCTAGTACAGAGCTAGCCTAGGGACCCCAAGAACAGAGATTCCTATCACCTTCAGGAATGAACTAAATGTAGGCCAGACCTTCCAGATGTGTTGTATCTAAACCTGGCATTCACCATGAAACAACACTGTCATCTCCATGCCTCCTGAGGTATCACTGGGCTTAAATGTAAATTCTCAAGACTATGGTCTTGATTTCCCCCGTTGAATAATGACTAGAGAGTGTGAGAACTGCTTCATTGTCCTCAGGTATCTAATCCTTGATTGGCACTCCAAAATGACCTGGATAAGGCATGTCCCCAGAGCCTTAGACATCTTGTATCATTGTACTCACAATGGGAAGAGACTGGAGGATCACTCTGTGTTGTACCTCCTTCTGTTAAGTTTTTCTTTTTCCTGCTCTGTAACCAAAGAGAGGTCCTACTTTCTTCCCATAGGATGCCTCCTGGAGCTTTATAAATCCCCTCTCCCTGTGGTCTCCTATGAACCAGCTTTACCCTGTTATATGACCAGAGTTCAGTGCTCCTATTAATAGCCTCTACCTCAAAGGTTGTTGTTTTTATTTTTTTTTATTTTATTTTTTTTAGCTCCAGGCACTTTCCAGTCAGATTACCAGAGACTTAGTAACAGTTCTTTAGTTTCTGTCTCCTTTTGTACACATGCATTCTTCTCTCCCTACCAAGAATACTTTGTTCTAGACACACTAATTGACTTGCTGTTTGTTTGTTTTTTCTCTGCTGTGGATGCCCTTTCTACCTTTGGAGCCCCTGCTTTTTCTTGAAGGCCTGGCTCAGCCTTACTTGCAAGTTAGTCTCTTCCGTCCCCAGATGGCAAGTCTATCATTCAGTCAGGAAGTACTTAAGACCCCAAGCTCATCACTGTGCCTGGAGTTTGAGACATTGAGATAAGAAAGGGCTCGTCCATACCATCAAGGAGGTCACAGTGTCTAGACACAAACGACATCTAAACAAGTGGCTGCGACATAGTAGAGTAGGGGCTAGAAGATAGAGTTTGGTGTAAGGGACAGCGATGGCACTAAGGGGAAAGTGACCGACTCTGAGCAGAAGTGCCAAGAGAGCTTCACAGACCGGATGCAGAGAGATGGGTTTCTAAGGATAAACAGAGATTCGCCAAGTGGATTGGGGGAGAATGTTTAGTCAGGGCAGAAGGTACCGTGTGTAAAGGCCCAGAGGGGTACAGCAGCATGCCATTCCTTACAGAACTATAAGCAGTTTCCACTTGAATGCTGGTGTGGGGTGTTGGTTGGTGATGTGAGGCTAGAGACCGGCAGAGCAGCCTTCAGACACACATGGGCCCGATGCTGCAGCTCGTTCCCTGGGCACTGGGGACCAGTGAAGACCTCTAATTTGGGGAGAGTAACATTAGATTTGCATTTGTGATAATCACTATGGACTCTGGAGAGAACAAGACTGGAAACTGGCCGGGAGCGTGAGGGTTGGGGGAGTGTTGGTCAAAGGCCATTGCGGTGATCCCACAGAGTTGTGGGGACAAAAAGGCCTGGAGGAAAGCAGTGGTGTTACAGACGAAAAGAGCATAGGAGTTAGTGAACACTCAGCTGTGAGGAGAAAGGGGAGGGGAGAGACTCGAGGTTCAGACTACAATCAGTGAGGGACAATGGTACCCTGGATAGGAACACAGGGAGAAGGTGATGACTTCTTGGAAATGCTGGGTTTGAGGTGCCTGTATATGCAGGTGGAAATCACCAAGCAGCACCATGGATCTGAAGGACTGGAGAAATGGATGAGCTGGAGATGTGCGGGTGGTGGAGGGCCCTAGGGAGAGATGAGCCCTCCTTCCATCTGTGCCCACAGCCCTGGGAACTGCCCCAGCGTTAAATGCTCATGCTGCTTCCCTGGTGGGTTTTATGTGCCAGAGGGGAGAAACTGTCTTCCCGTCTTCGTGTCCTCCCACAGCTCTTTACAAAAGCGGGCTCTGGATCACTCCGTTGACTTCACTTGATCAGTCCACAAATGGGTATTGTTTGAGAATTATTGTGCAATCTGTCCCTACAGCAACCTAACATCAAACAGAAGTTTGTGGCCCTCCTGAAGCGGTTTAAAGTTTCAGATGAGGTACGACCCCTTACTCCCGAGGTTGATGGTGAGTAGAAGAATCCCCTGAGTTTCACCGTCGTTCCTGGGGTGTGCTCTTTCCTGCCACTGGGAGTCAGGATTGCAGGACCCCCAAGTGAGAACATAGCTAAAGAAGGGCTTTAAGCTACTTGAAAAGAGAAAGGAAAGCTTTCCATGTAGCACCCAAAGTTGCACGGTACCTGGAAGCAAGGGTAGCGTGGTTATACTCAACTGTTGTTTAATACCACGCCTCTGCTATGGGGTGCCAGTAACAAATCTAGCTGTTGTTGTTGAATTTTCCCTCCTGTTGGACGGGGAACATTGTGAGCAACAGCCTGTGAGGTAGGGGCGTCCTCGGTGGTCAGCTCTAGTTTGTGGGATTGAGCCCCACGTTGGGCTCTGCACTGTCAGTGTAGGAGCCTGCTCAGGATTCTCTATCTGACCCTCCCCCACTTATGCTTGCACTCTCTCTCTCAAAATAAATAAATAAACTTAAAATAAAAACTAGAGATGCCGTGTCCTCCCTGGGCTCTGACCGGCCTGGTGCCAGTTTTCACAGGCTTCTCTTCTGAATGGACTGGAAAGAGATGGGGAAGAAAATTGTCTTGAGGTGTCTTTGTCCTTCTGTGGGCTCCTGGAAAATAAAACTGGCCTGCACAGAGTCACAGTCCTCTGGGTTTTCTTGTGCCCATGCTTTGGCAGAAGTACATTAGCACTTGTACTTTTCTTCTCATGCCAGGCCCATAGTGTGGAGGGGTAGGGAGGCACTGAAAGGGAAAGGTGGCCTCACCACATCCCTGCTCTCAGGATTAGATCACAGAAAGGACACTGAGTTTACCCCGATGCATGCGAAGCTGTGGCATTGCCCCTTAAGGACGACTAGTTAAGGAGGCCAGTTGGTACCTGTCCAGGAGGAAAGAGTTATGCATCTACCATAGTTGTTAATAGAGGTAACCCCAAACTCAAAGCTTTTTGTCCCCCACAGGTAGGCTTCGGGCTGGAACACGTATCCCGAGAGCAGATACGAGAGGTGGAAGAGGACTTGGATGAACTGTATGATAGCCTGGAGATGTACAATCCCAGCGACAGTGGCCCTGAAATGGAAGAGACGGAGAGCATCCTTAGCACTCCAAAGCCCAAGCTCAAGTGAGGCCCAAACCTCTTCTATCGAATTGTCTCTCTGCGTATCTCCTTCCTAAGCCAGCACAGTCTCCTAGGCCCCCTCCCTCACTTCCCCTCCATTACCAGGGAGTTTGGCTCCTCACCCTGTTGAACCTCCAGCTGTCTGGATAAGGATCACTGTTTTTGCCTCTAGCTGGCAAAAGTCCTGATAGGACTTTCCTGAAGTCCTTTGGTCCAGGCCCTCCTTGTCCACTCTGCTGTGTCCTTCCTCAGCGGGCATCCTTCAAGCCCGGGTTGTTGATCTTTCTTGAACACCGCATCGCTACCCAACCTTCCACAGGCTGCTGCTCCGGGCCCCGGTGGCCACTGACCCTGGCTGTGCTTCTTTGCCGCAGGCCCTTCTTTGAGGGGATGTCGCAGTCCAGCTCACAGACGGAGATTGGCAGCCTCAACAGCAAGGGTAGCCTCAGCAAAGACACCACCAGCCCTGTGAGCAAGACCGACGGATATGGGGGTTGGGGAGAGGGACCAGGGGAGTGTTGGGGCTTAACACTCTGAGCACTCTGCTCTTGGCTCGTTTTGTGACCTTAGAAGAGCAGTCTTATCTTGTGTCGACCTTGGGTGTCCTCATCAGAGTCCTAGCTGGGAGCTTGGTTCTTTGTGGGCATTGCTGTGGCTGTTTGGGTGTTCTTTTTTGGTCAGTTCCTACCACGACTTGGAGCCTTCCTTCCCAGAACACACAGCGCCTCAGATTTCTCTCTCGACATCTGTAACATGGTAGCTGGGAGTGTGGCATCCTGCCAATGTTAAGCAGTTCTGCTTTCCAGCCTAGGTAAAGAACGTAAAGAGGCAGGAAGCCCACTTACATAGGCTTTATTCCTAGAGGGGGGCAGTGCCCTCAAAGAATTAGGAATTTAGCAGGTAGATTTCCATTTTGCCTGATGACCGAAAGGAAAAAGTTTCTGTCTGCTGTAGCACCACGGGAGGCCAGCATCACCCTGGACCATGCTCTGTTCCTACTTGGGAAGGCTCCCCTAGCAGTGGATCAGGGGTTGGAGCCTGGGTTGATGCTGTATCTACCTCAGGCCCTACGAAGCTGTTCTCATTTACAGCTAAAGGGAAGATGTTGTGCATGATTTTAGTGTCGTTTACGGTGTGCTGTTGCAAGCCCAGTGTCTTGTCTTTAGATCTAAGAAACTGAGTCCTTTAAGTTCTGTTCGCTCCACTTCAACAGAGGGCATACAAAACTCACCTTGTGAATAGGTATTAATTGTGAAGAAATGATATGTGAGGTACTCCATCCCCTGAAAAGTACTGTGTCTGTGGAAGGGCTGCCATCCGTCCCAGGTGTCTGCAGACCCTGTGGCAGCTCATGGGTCAGCTCTTGGGCTGCCTTACTGCTTGCTGCCACCAGGTGGGGCTGTCTCCCACCTCATCCCTCTTCCCAGTGAAGGCACAGCCGGCACTGTCTGGCCCTAGAACAGTGGCAGCAGGTGGCATTACTGAAGAAATGTGGGGTGGAAAACTGCAGCCCACAAGGAGAATCCCTCCACAGAGAAGCCTCTGGCATGCCATTTGAAGACCTTGCACTCTGATCTGGAGAGCTGAGGAGGCCTCACCTTACTATTTCTGTGGCTTGTAGCTGCTCTCTCTCATGGGCTTTCTAAACGGCCCTCCTGAATGGTCAGTGTCCACATGGACAGATCATTGGCCACTACAGCCAGATTCCATCTCAAATATAAATACAAGGGATGACCCTTCTAGAGAGAAAACCGGCACCTGGCCAAAGGAGAACTGTTTCATAGTGTCCTAGGAATGTGGAACAAGGAATACTGTAACAAAATGCAATTATTAACTGAGATAATGCCCCCAAAAACTAAGCATAACACCTAACATATAATGAATTCTCAATAAATGGTAGGGATTGTTGTTATCACATCAATACATTATTTTATACTAATGAAGGTGTTTCTTGGTTGATAGAACTTGTCTGTAAGTTCTACTTCAGTCCCAGTTGTATGGCTAACACAGTTTAGAGAGAAGAACCACTGATCCTCTGAGCCTCAGGTGCCTTAAAGTTAGCATAGCAGCCCAGTTAGCTCAAAAGTCAACTGAGATCAGTCTTTACGATATGATGGCCTAAGGGCCCTTATCTAAGCAGAACTTTTCTCTGGGCGGGGGGGGACTGAAGTTGAGAGCATGTGTTCTGGAGTCAGACCTCTGAGTTTGAATCTTGACTCCATCATTCCACTGACTGTGTTCTGGGGCAGTTGCCAGGCCTTGGTTTCCTCGTCTACAGAGTACCTGCAAAAGGCACATGCCTTGTGGGGCAGTGTGAAGATACCATGGGAGAATGCAGGTAAATCCTGTGGCATGTGCTCGCTGGATAGATGTGTTGGCCTACCACATGGGAAATATGCAGTAAAAGCAGTAAACGGAGGCTGCTGTTGCTGTTCTTGTTATAGTCTCAGAACCATTTCGGTTCTGGTCTCCTGAAATTGTTAGAATGTCAATGTCTTTTTAGTGAGTCCTTCAAACTCTGGCTCTGTTGGCCAGATTTCAAACTTGCTTTGCTGATTCTCTGTGATATTTCTGTTTTGAAGAGCTCCATATGTCTTGATGTGGATGTAGAGCTCTGGGATCCTTTAGTATGAAAGGCACTTGGGGAAACACATAGCAAGGCCATGCTTTTACAGGGAAGCTCCAAATATAGTAGGAAAAAAAATACTGAGATTACGCATATATAGGCAGGTATGCACATGCTGCCCAACTTTTATCCTCTCTTTCTGATTTCCTAGCATTGTTATTTGTTTTTCTTAATATTCTTTTTTGTTCCCCAGTTTCAGAGGATTCAGTGTATCACTAAAACCAGAAGGAATTTCTGCTGATACAAATTATTACAGTTGTTAGCTTTCCCAGGACTTGAGTACGCAGTAGCAGCAGAATTTGGTTTTCCAGGCTAATAACAATAGACCCTGACAGTGCTTCAGTCAGGGAGGTCGAGAGATACAGCCTTTCAGCCGAGACTTCCTGCTGCTAAAAGTTGCTATTTCCATTGCACTGTAAATAACGGTGTTAGAGACTAGTACTTCATACAAATGAGAGCCTAAATACTACCCCACTCTGCCCCCCTCACAGGAGCATGTACCCTCCCTGTAGCACCAGCATTGCCCCATGGGCACAGTACTTTGGACTGGTAGCATCTGCCTCCAGTGCTACCCAATTAGACACAGCTGCTGCACGGCTGTGTTCCAGGGTTCTGGGGTGAGAAAAGCCCTTCATATTTATAGGAGCAAAAACAGAAATTTGGAGAATTGGGAGTTTGCTCCTAGTGGGACTGCTTGGAACATCTAGAAGAGTCCGTGAATAGCCAGCAGGTTCCCTTTAACCCCAGGCCAAGTGAAGGTTGTTGCAGCTTCACCATGGAAACAATTCTGTACTTGTCCCAGGGCTTGACATGCTACTTTAAAACCCTTCAGCAGAATGGTGTTATTGCCCCAGTTCATTCTCTTTAAATGTGTTTAATTCATTTGTGATACTGAAATCCAAAACTGAGTGAAATCATCTTTAGTCTTAAATCTAACCAGGACTTTCCCATGAGTCTGGACTCTGTTAACATTGGTTCTTCATATAGACAATGTAATGAACTAGCTTGCAATCTGAGGCAAACTATTATGTTTGGTTCTGAGCCAAACCATCTCAAGATTCGGGGTCACAAGGTCTAGTTAAAGTATGTTGGTTAGTCTTGCAGATAGTTTAGAGCAGTGCCTCCCAACCAGGGGTGGTTTTTGCCTCCTTCTCAAGGAACATTTGGCGCTGGCAACGACCAGAGACAGTTTTGATTGTCACAACTTGAGGGGTTGGGGGTGCTGCTGCTGGCACTTAGTGGGTAGAGGCCAGGGATGCTGTTTAACATCCTGCTATGCACAGGACACATCCCCCACAACAAAGAAGGATCTGGCCAAAATGTCAGCAGGGCTGAGGTAGAGAAACCATATGGTGTAGATAGAATATGACACAGGGCCTACATTTGCTATAGTTGTTCATTAGTTTTCCAAGTACCCCCTTGAATTTATAAGCCCAGTGTTTCTCAGTACTATTTAATTTACTCAGAGGAAGGAATTTGAGTGATTGGGAGAAGGTAGGATATCTTTGATCTTTCCTAACTCTCTGGTTTCCAAAAACATTCACTAAGGCCAGTACCTTCCCTACATCTAAGACCCACAACAACGCTCAAACTCTTGTGACTTTTACGTAGACATCTGCACAGCCAGAAACAATGTTAGCAAATACGAAAAATATAGTTCTATGTGTCAGTTATTTACAAAGTAAATTTTTAATGTTTATGAAAAACGCTAATAAGAGTTGGGGACAGAGGGAGAATTAATTCACAACTAAATGGTGTAGCATTGGGTGTGTTTTGCTTAGTATATTCATTTATCTTGAGGGGTCTGTAGATGTTTCTACCAAGCAAAATAAATTTGGCTACCATGGATGTCTTTAGTCTCAAAGTCAAAGACCTGAACTGTAAGATTTTCCTTCCCAGCAACTTCTGAGAAGCAGAAGAGGCCCCGGATGTCCTCCGAGGGCATTTACTGTCCCCAGAGTTAGAGGCCTTGCGGGGCCCATACAAAGTCATCTAAACGCTGATCTTCTCTTCCCTGTGACATCTTGTGAGAGTCCGAGAGATGAGAGTTGCTGGGCTCTGAGTTCCACTGTGCTACTGATTTAATGATGACAGACTAGCTGATCCTTCTGACACTTAGTTTTCACCAAACACACTTCTTAGAAGATGGAAATTCCAAAGATTTTGATGAGATCTTCAAATTAAGTGGAAGCATTTTAAGCTTCTGAGGGACCAAGAGAACCAGTTAGAATGGTAGTTATTTGGATGGTGATGACTAATTATTCTAATTTTTGCAGATGGAATTGGCTGCTCTAGAAAAAGTCAAATCTGCTTGGATTAAAAATCAAGATGACAGCTTGACTGAAACAGACACTCTGGTATGTGCAGCTCAGTCTCCTGTGTAACTTAGTTTTTGTGCCTTTAGAAATAAAGCCAAAAGACCTTCAAGACCTCCCTGGGAATTTTGCCTACATCTGTGGATTTGTGAATGTTCTGTGTTCTCTTTCTCCTGGAATCCTTACCCATGGAATATAACCTACCCTGGAGACCAGGTCATTCCCCAAATTAGCAAACCAGAAATGTCCCCATTCTGCTCTTTTATTAGATCTGATTAAATGCTAATTTGGATAATTTCTCACTATCTGTCATCCTTATTTACTTCTGCGAGATGACAACCAGTATCTTCCCCTGAAAAACCATCCCTTCCTCCAGAGTTGCTTTTAGTGTGAGCAGGCAGCCTACACGTTAAATCTCCAAGTGATTATTGGTCAAGTCCTTCCCCTAAGAGACTGGAGCTGCCCAGGAGGGCGAGCCAAGCCCTAGAGAAATGCAATGTATCGCTTGGAGTGCCCAATTTATACACTGGCTCCACACATACTTACTGGGTAACTACATGTGCTAAGCACTAAAGATGTGAAGGTGAGAACACCAAGGCCTCTGCCATCAAGACACCACCCTCCAGGAGGAGAGCCAAGCTATGCACACCTGAGGTTCTGTGGAGGCTCAGGGAAGGACAAGTGATTCTGACTGGAGGGGGACATCTGAGCTGGGCCTCTCAGAATAGACTGAAGTTCTTCCAGTGGGACCGGAGGCTGGACACAGTGGGTGGGAGGGAGCAGAGAACTTTACCAGGTATCACTCGGGGGTGTACTATGCATTAGCTTCACAGTGAGACCTGGTAGTTGATGGAGTCCAGGGAAGAATTATCTTAGGCTTCTGTTTCCTATAGTAAATAATGCTACATCAAAGATCCGGTGAATAACCAAACATTAGACTTGATGCAAGGTTAATTTAAAGCTTACTATACACTTGCACTTTATAGTTCACCAATAATCTGAAAACCCAGCTTCCACTCTTGCCCGACTGTGGTCTATACTGCAGTGGTCATTTCAAAATGAAATTCCAAGAAACAAAGAGGGGAGGGGGAGAGGGAGGGAGGAAAGGAGGAAGGGAAGGAAGGAAAGAAAAAGAAATTCTAATCATGTCATGTCACGATTAAAATTCTCCTCCCCACCTAAAGAAGCCAGATCATCAGCCCAGGTTTGTGTGTTGACAAATAATAGTTCATAAATGCAGAGGACAGATCGAGTAGCAAGAGACAGTACCCAGCAGAGTGGGTACACTGCATTAAATTAAACAGTAAACTTCCTCATTGGAGAGATAGGTGCAGAACCATGTGCTTCTAGGAAAAGAGAGCGAGAGACTGACCCTCGTTGTGAGACTCTCCAGGCTCCTGGGTGGTCACTGAGGGGGAAGTAACCCTCGCTGTTTCCTTTCCTCCCTGGCAGGAAATTACTGACCAGGACATGTTTGGAGATATGAGCACAAGTCTGGTTGTGCCAGAGAAGGTCAAAACTCCCATGAAGTCCAGCAAAACAGATCTCCAAGGTTCTGCTTCTCCCAGGTACTCGAGATTGGAAGAAAATCCTATAACAGGGAGGGTAGAATTAAGGAAACCAAGCAGATGGTGTGAGGCTTGTGACCATAGTTAGCATAGGCTCATGGGCGGGGGAAGAGTGGCTGATAATGGCTTTGGGGTCACGGGGGCTATTTAACTACCTCCTCTCCACATCTCTGGCAGCAAAGTGGATGGGGTACACACGCCCCGGCAGAAGCGGAGCACACCCCTGAAGGAGCGGCAGCTCTCCAAGCCCCTGAGTGAGAGAACCAACAGCTCCGACAGTGAGAGGTCCCCCGACTTGGGCCACAGCACGCAGGTACCCCCTCCCTCTCAAGGCCAGGGCCCTCTGAGCATCCCTAGACCTTGGCTTCTGTTCTGTCATCTTCCTTGGGCGGTTAGGTAGAGAGAAAAGAGGGAATACTGTGGAATGTTCTGAATAAAAGTCTTGAAGACAGATCTAAATCAGAGAAGTCTAACATATGTGTCACTTACTACTAGTGCGGAATTGGCTTCGGTGCTGATCTGCAGGGAGCGGAGGAGGGAGCAGGAAATGCCAGCATTGTCACAGCCTGCCATCACCCCCAAGTGGCAGTTCCACACCTGATTTGTTCTGCCTCCATCAGACCTCAGTCTAGAGATTGTGTGGTGAATCAGTTATTCTAGAGGACAGCAACCGTCAGTATCTCATTGGACATCACCCACCTGGACTCAGATACCCTTCGTACTACTATGGGCCGGTTAATGTGATTTCAAGCTGGCAAATCAACAATATTAAAATATTTTGATTAAAAGACCCAAGAGTAGGCTGGAATAGAAGCAGAAGAAACCAGACCTCAGGAATTATTTTCTCTTTCTGAAGGCCAGTGGTATCGGGGCTTGGGGAAGGAACCTTTCTAAACTGGCACCTCACACAACTACACTTCCTGCAGAGCTAACAGCAAGCCTGTTCGCTTACCTGATAAATAGCACCAAGAGAAAAGTTTGTGTCAACGTGGCTTCCTGAGTTTGCCGCTATTGCATAGCTGAAAATGAACTGGAGACCAGAATAGCCTGTGCCTGGGGCGAGGTGTCAGGTGTCGTCCTCCTTGCTAATCACTGTTCCTGAAGTACCTTTTGTTCCCTGTGACAGTGGGGCTCCCCACACAGTACCCACTGCCGCTCTCCTTGGTTCTCTCCCCATTGCCCTCAATTTCGTTTCTGTGAGCACCTGGTAACTGTTACCGCCCTCCTCCTCTCCTGGTACTTCGGCTGCATCATTACCCTTCAGGGCATGCTGATCGTGTTTCTAGCTTAGTCTGCCCTCCCCCTCCTCCGTCAGGACTACTGCTGGGGTTTTGTTCCTGGTGTCTGAGTGTGTTCTCTGAGGACTCTCTGCTTACTCTTTATCCTTGTCCTTTCCATTTTGCTCTGGCCAGTGGGATACTGGGTCTCCTCCAGAAATTCCCAGTGTCTCCCTGTATTCTCCCTGAATACCCCTGCCCCAGAGATTCTCTACCCTAGTGCACCCTGCTCTCCCCTCACGCTCCCTGGGGACTACCTGACAGGCACATTTGTCCCTGCAGATTCCAAGAAAGGTTGTATATGACCAACTGAATCAGATCCTGGTATCAGATGCAGCTCTCCCAGAAAATGTCATCCTTGTCAACACTGCGGACTGGCAGGGCCAGGTAAAGCACTAAAGATGACAGGGCTGGGGAGGAGAGGTTCTGGGGAGCAAGAGGCAGGACGTGGAGAAACAGGAAAATGATCCCCATGTCTCAGGCCCCTCTTCCCTGAACTCAGCCTGTAGTTCTAGTCTCCTGTCCCAGTTCTGTCATTTTCCGGCCTGTGGGACCTCACGTCACTAACTTTTTGTACCTCAGCTTCCTCATCTGTAGAAAAGTGATAGTATTACTGGTCCTGCCTTCCTTCCAGGGTGGTCGTGTGTGGTTTTTCTGTCAGCATAACAGAATACAGGTATCTTGAAAGGTACAAAGTGCTATAAAATGCCAGAGGTTGCCCTAGTTCCCAGGAAGGCAATTCAGAAGAGGCAGAGCAATACCCTCTGGCCCCCAGTCACCGCTGCCCCCTGCCCCCGGGTAGATCCTGGCGCCAGAATCCCTCTTTCCTAGTGGCCCCGACACCCGGAACATACGCTACAGAGGCAACATGAGAATCTAAAGATTCCTTAACCTTCCCACATTTTCTGGTTAGCATGTCTATATGGGGTCTAGCCCCACCTTCTCTTCACTGGCAGCCAGAGACCTGACCTTTGCCCGGCTTTGATCTCAAGGACAGAGGACGGGCCCTGCCACTCAAGCTGGGCCTAGCCTGCTCCTTGGTGCCTGTGGGGGAGCTGCGTTCTTGCTGCGTGGACTCACCTGTGTCCCTGCCCTTTCCCTCCCTGCCCCCCCAGTACGTGGCAGAGCTGCTCCAGGACCAACGGAAGCCTGTCGTGTGTACCTGCTCCACCGTGGAGGTCCAGGCCGTGCTGTCTGCCTTGCTCACCCGTATTCAGCGCTAGTAAGGGCTCTGCTTGTCTCCTGCCCTTTGGGGCTCCCTCTGACTTCATCCTCCCACCCTGACTTCTAAGCAGTGACAGGAGTGCCCTGCCTCACCAGCCCAAAACTCCTCAGTCGCCGTGTGGTTTACAGTGGCGGGCCACGGTGCTCTGTTGTCCCTGCTGGCCCCAGAGGTCAGGGTGTGAAAATGTCATTCTCCTGCTCTCCCTGCCTCCCAACTTGTACTCTTGACCTGCCACATCTTCTCCTTAAACCCAGGACGAAGAAGACCAGGGAGAAAACCAGGGTTTTACAAAGGCCTTTTACTCTCATCCCTCTAACTGTGCCACGATACTTGGCATCCAGAGTCAGGACCTCCCCAGAGGGGCCCAGAGTCCCCGCCAATGGGAATGAGAACCGCAGGTCCTCCAGGCATCTGGACTCACGCCCACCGCTGACCCCTGGCAGCACTGCCAGATTGTCTCCCATTAGCCTAAGCTAATTCTTTCTTCCTTCTAGACAGTCACCTGCCTCTCTGATCCTAGGTTTCTCTCCTTATTGCAAAAGCACTGTAGTTCATTGCCTCTCTGTGTATTATTTTGTTTATTGGCTTATTTTCCCTCTGTGGGTTGTGGAATCAAGTGAAGTCAAAGCTTGGGGCCTTTGTCCGAGTAGGATGCTGGTGAACCCCCTAAATGTGGTTGTGACTCTTCCCTTGCTCCCCAGCTGCAACTGCAACTCCTCCATGCCGAGGCCGGTGAAGGTGGCAGCAGTGGGAGGCCAGAGTTACCTGAGCTCCATCCTCCGGTTCTTTGTCAAGTCGCTGGCCAGCAAGACCTCCGACTGGCTTGGCTACATGCGCTTTCTCATCATTCCCCTCGGTAAAAATGGAGTAGATTTCACTCCTGAAGCAGCATGTTGGGGCTGGGCCCTAAGAAGGGACAGTTAGGGAGCTCAAAGGCCAGGCCGTATTTTGTCCCTTAACCACTTTACCTTCTCTGGTTTCCATCTCCTAGGTTCTCACCCTGTGGCCAAATACTTGGGCTCAGTCGACAGTAGATACAGCAGTAACTTCCTTGATTCTGGCTGGAGAGACCTCTTCAGTCGCTCGGAGCCCCCGGTGTCAGGTAATGGCCGTTTGTGAGGGATTGAGGCAAAATGCCACCTGGTTCATGGAGGGCCAGTCTTGGCCAAAGGAGGGGCCAAGAGAGCTTACTTTTTTTCCTCCCTATGGTTCTACCACTCCCAATCCCTTTGCATGTTTATTTTCGCAGTAAGTATTTAGTAGGAGGAGGCCCATTATGTGCAGTCCCGTTTCACTCTGGACATTTTTAAGCTCTGCTGTTTGCTGTGCTCCTATGCATCTAGAAATAAGGAGGGCCATGAGGAGGTGATGAGGAGGACATTTCTAGTTGTAGAAATCAAGCATGAGAAACAGAGAAGAGTTACTAAGCAATCTGTTTATAAGCTAGTAACACTGTGCTGACCACGTCTTTTCTCTGAAATACAGAGTAAAAGTGGCAGCGCTTAGAGTGAGCTTGAGTTCTGCAAGGCTGAGGAGTAGCAAATGTGTCGCCAGACCTTGAAGGAAGTGATAGGCACAGATTAGTAGAGTGGAGGAGTCCCTCTAGGTTACAAGATTGGTATGAACAAAATAGAAGCGTGAGCACGATTAGCCTGGAGGAGAGCGGAGCTTTGAGGAACTGCAAACGGAGATCGGAAGGGAGAGAACAGCGCTTTGGTTCTTCGTTCCTTATATTCAAAACCAGAGGATCTTTAGAACCTTTTCTCTCCCTCAACTCCGAGGGTCTTCTGATGGGTCTCAACAAGGGGATCTCTCAGAAGGTTTTCAGGTTTGCCTGCTGAAATAAACCGGCAGTTATCTCTTGTCTTTTCTGCAGAGCAACTGGACGTGGTCGGGCGGGTCATGCAGTATGTCAGTGGGGCAGGTGTCACACACCAGCTCCCCGTAGCTGAAGCCATGCTGACCTGCAGGCATAAGTTGTAAGTTTCACTTCAGGGGATTTCTTGAAACTGCTAGGGTGGGTGGGCTAGCTAAATCTTGAGTTTTCTTTGCTTTTCTGTATTTTCCTTCTCCCCACCTGTTTCTCTTTGTAGCAACTCAAGAGAATACGAGAGGCAATGTTTTTACCGCCTTCCATCCAGGCCCCGCCATCCTTGTCCTGGGCCTCCCCACCCAAATAGATGCCCCCTTAGCATAAGAGAAGCCCATCCTAGGGGCTGAAATCCGCACATGGGAGCAGGTGGTGAAGTATGCAGGATCAGAACTTTTGCCTCTATCTGTGGCTCCTCTGCCATCCTGAGACATGATGGGAAGTGTCATGTAGTGTCTGGACTCCCTTGAAGCCACAATAAAATATCAAAAGCTGGGGCACCTGGGTGGCTCAGTCAGTTAAGCATCTGACTTCGGTTCAGGTCAGGATTTCACGGTTCGTGGGTTCGAGCCCCACATCAGGCTCTGTGCTGAGAGCTCGGAGCCTGGAGCCTGCTTCAGATTCTCTTTCTCCCTCCCTCCCTCCCTCTCTCTCTCCCTCCCTCTCTCTCTCTCTGCCCCTCCCCGGCTTGTATTCTGTTTCTCTCTGTCTCTTAAAAATGAATAAACGTTGAAAAAAAATTTTTTTTTAAATATCAAAAGCTTGTATCCCCAGCTCTCCATGCAATATCACCCACTAACTATAAAGCTTTTCTTTCTCTCCCAACAGCCCTGATGAAGACTCCTATCAGAAGTTTATCCCCTTCATTGGCGTGAGTACTGACTCCCCACTCCTCTGTACCCCATCCATTTCTCCTGGCCTCCCCACATACACATACACAAATAAAAGATTCATCTAGACAGTAGTTCTCATCCAGAGGTGATTCTGCCCCGAGGGGACATCTGGCCATGCCTGGAGACATTTTTGGCTGTCACAGCTGGAAGTTGGGGTGCTAGTGGCATCCAGTGGGTAGAGACCAGGGATGCCGCTAAACTTCCTACAGTGCACCAGACAGCTCCCCAGCCCCGCCAAACAGATTAATCTGGCCCCAATGTCAATAATGCCAAAGTGGAGAAACCCTGGGCTGGAACATGTACTGAGCTGTTCCTTTCAGTATCCTCTTTTCCTGAATCATGGGCTACCCCAGATCATCACTAGTATCCTCATATTTATTACACCAAGCCCAGAACCTGGTGCCTTGGCCTAGGGAGGGACATCCAGAGCATAGGTTCTGCAGTCTCCAGGGAAAAGAAGGCTGCCTCAGAAATGAAATAATGATAGATGATATTCTGAAGAGAAGTCCAAGAAGTAGGTATTTCTGTCTTCAGGGTCAAATGTACCACTGAAAAGAAGGATCCCTCCTTTCCCTTCCTATTTAGTCAAAGGAGAATCTCTAGATGAGTTCATTGATTTTGAAAATAAAAGGGAAATGTCTCAAATATCCCTGATGTCAGGTGGCACTGGCCTTTGTTTCATTTGGCAGTAGCTCGGCCATAAGGCAGAGACCAACCAAGAAAGGGACCCCAGAGGTGACAGAGCTGACACCGTGTGGGGCCAAAGCACTCCACAAAAGCGTGGCTGAAAATTCAGATTTCCATGTATGAGACAATTGAATTTCACTTCCAAGTCAGCTTGTATCTTTTCCTATACTCTCCTAGCTTTGGGTAGGGGGACATAAGCAGATGAAGGGCTTATTCTTTGCTCGTCCCAGACTCTGGATGTCTTGAGTGATCATGGGAGATCCCTGAGCCTGGAGAAATTCGGTTGCCCTTTCTTGTGCCTTGCTAAAGCCTACTGTCTGAATGATCCACTCAGTTCCTGTTAGCCACTGGGGCTACTTCCATTGCCATGTTGGAGGCTCCAGACCACAGCCTGTAGCCTAAGCTGATGGTTTGATACACATCTTTGTGGAGCTATGGGTTGCTGCACACTCTGGCCTCACAGACAAGAGAGAAATATTAAAAATTAAAAATTTAAACCAACAAAGGAACTGGCAGCCTCATATAATGCCAGGGGAGCAAGGGAGTTGTGTCCAGGAAGTTCAGAGTGTCGGTATGTTACTTTCCGAGAACTAAAATAAGGATGCATAAAGAATTTGGGACAAACTTCAGTGAATAGCAGCACTGTGTTCTAAGTAGCCATGACGGGACCATTTGCACGTTATCTCCACTCCCTGTCAGTCCCCAGGGTGCAGCTTCTGTGACCTCTCGGCTCTGCTGCACTTCTGCCGGGTGCTAGGCCCTTGGCCTGCTACTTCACAGGAATTCACCTGTCACTTCAAGTCACAGCTGTAACATTTAGTCTGTTTCTAGCTGTGCCCTTTGCTGGCCGCTGGAGGGCCCCCTCTGTCCTTCCCAGAATTCTCTATGAGAAATCTAAAATCCTTTGGGAAGCTGAAATTAATACCACTTTCCTTGAGGAAAGGGGCAGGAAGGTGCCTGGGATCACCTCCTTATCCATATTGTCCCAGATTCCAACAGATCTGGAAAGGAGGAAGCTGGTATCAGCACATCCGCATGTTCCCCTGCTTGGTGCAACAGGCAGGCTTTCAGAGAGCTCCTCCCCTGCAACACCCTGTCTTACTAAGCTTTCTCAGAGCAGTTCTTTACTTCTCTGACATGGGAAAATGGCCTCCTACCCACGTGATCTTAGAAGAAATGAGATCAGAATACTGAAATGGTTCCTGCCTTCAAGGTGGCTTTTTGCCCTCCCTAGAGATGAGCCACAAGGCCTCATGTGCCCCCACATCATTGTTTGGAACTGGGCTTTTATACGTATCTTACAGATCTGGGCTGCTCTGGATTTGCAAAGATTTTAAAAGCCTCTGATCAAATAATATATAGTAATGGCTGTTGTGTCCAAACACCTGCTTCTAACTGGATCAAAATGTGTCCAGCTTTAGTGAGAGGACTTAATGTGGTATCTCTTCTTTCTCTCAGGTGGTGAAGGTGGGTCTGGTTGAAGATTCTCCGTCTACTGCAGGTGAGGCTGGGATTCTTTTGCTTCTGTGAAGTGAGGTGATGCCTTCTAGGCTCATCTCTAGTCCAGCAGGCCAGAAGGTGAAGATTTGGGGGCTCCTAAGGTTAAGTCAGAATTTGAGCAGGAAAACTGTGGCCACCTTCACTTCCTGGGTGAAGCGGCGGCAGGGGGTGGTGGGGAGGTGTTAAAAGCTCAGCTACAGCTGAGACAGAGGGGTACCTTGACCCCTTGGCTGTCCCCCCGTGCTTGTCCCCCTGACAGGTGATGGGGATGACTCACCTGTGGTCAGCCTTACTGTGCCCTCCACATCACCGCCTTCCAGCTCAGGCCTGAGCCGAGATACCACAGCCACTCCTCCTTCGTCCCCATCCATGAGCAGTGCCCTCGCCGTCGTGGGGTAAGGCTCTTGCCCATACCTCTCCTTCCCGCCGACCCTCTCCCTCAGGGCCCAGGAACCATACTAACTGCCCCCTCACCCCCGCCTGCAGCATTGTATAACAGTGATGTTATACTGAGTGTAGAAGGCAGGTTAGTGGCAAGGACGTTGGAGTTCGAATTCAGAGACTTCGGTCACTAGCCGGGCAAGTGGAACAGCCCTGAACAATGGAGGATACTCTCTTCCCTGTCTCCCAGGTAAAAGAATTGAATGAGACAAATGACAGAGAGACCCTCTGTAACCTGTAAAGTGCTGTACAGGAGGCTTGCTGGGGGACTGTCCCGCGAGGGGGAAAGAGTGTGGGCATGGGAGTCCTGCACACCTGGGTTTGAGTCGTGGTTCTGTGTTAGGTCTGCTACATTAGCTTTTGGTAAAGAACTAACTACTCAACGACACTTTCTAAGGCTCAGTGAGAGAGACCACATCAAGGTGTGACCATTGAGATAGGTGTAGGGAGCACTGCCATGGATTTTGCGGGGGCGGTGGCTCAACTCCAACACAACCGAAACAAGTGGGGATTTCTACCCAGGGAGCAGGTGTGGATGGAAAATGACTAAGAAGAAACATTAGGGGTCGGGAGATTCTTGCTGAAGACAGGTCAGGGTGTCAGACATCTTCTGGGGGCGGTGGCGGATGAGGAACCTGAGCAGGTATCCCAGGTGATCAGACAGGGAGGGTGGGGGCTCTTGCCAACTGTCTTAGCAGGGTTCTTGCTAACTGGATTTTACAAAGATGTACACAAATGAGCCTAGGAAAAAGTTTGGGAGCCAGACTAAAGTTTCTAAAGTTTGGTCAAGCAAAGAATCTGTCATTTGGACAAGTTACTAAGCTTCATTTTCATCTTTGTAAGTAGAGTGAAATAGCCATGTCACAGTTTGTGAGGCTTAAATAAGAACCTGTATGGTTTGGTACCTGGCACATGGGAGGTATTATTGCCTTCTCTCATGCATTCAGTCTGTCTGTCAGCAGAGTGCCCGTTTGAGGCACTGGAGCTGTAGCAGCAAATAAGAAAGGCTCATCCTAGTCCCGGAGCTCAGGCTTCTGGGTCCTGGCAATGCCAGAGCAGCAAAAACTTTCAAATTGTGTAGGTTGCAGTAAGTGCTATGAAAAAATAGTAGGGGGATGGTTCTGAAAGGAGAAGGAATTTCTTTAGGATCTCGAGTACCCATAGTTTAGATCAGGCAGTCAGGGTGGCCTCTCAGAAGGCACCTCTCATGCCAGGCCTGAGAACAGAGGAGATGACAGACGGAGTGTGGAGCAGAATGCTCCTGCAGGGGGCTTGAGGGAGCAGGCTGGGAGGTGAGAAAAGGGCAGGTGTGAGTCAGGAACAGAAATGGGCTCCTGCACCTTCTTCCTCCCTGTTTCCCTTTTTCTGCCTTACCTCTTTGTGTTTCTCCTGGGAATGGTCCTCAGCAGCAGAGAGGGGAGGCACTAGCCCGTGGTTGTCCCAGAAACACCAATGACAGGGTCATGGTCCCTGAAGAACATGAATGTTCTTAGATGGCGAGAAGCCTGCATTGCACCTCGGATCCCAACCCTCATCGTCCCTCACCCTCTCCTCCCCTTTTCACTTCCCATCATGTGGTCTCTACTGGTTTATGGAAGGGACGGTGCAGGAAAGGAGGAAGTCCCACACAGCCAGTAATGCCTCATGGTTCCAGGCTTCCTGAGGGTCTGGGGACCAGCCCTTAACTTCGACCTCCTTTTCTATCCCATTTAAGCTGGTTTTTAATGGAACCACTGAAAGTAGGCAGAAAGAAATGTCAGATGACTTTTGTAGCCTGTGTACCTATTGTGTCTGACGCCTCCTTTCAAGAAAACATCAGCCCTTTTTCCCCTCGGAGCTAAAATTATCCCTGAGCTAGAAGTGCCATAAATAAGAGAAAGCCGCAGGTCAGCAACCATCAGCTCTCCCTCCTGGGGCTGCTGTGGAGCTGGCCAAGGTGTTTCTGTCTCTGCCCCACTTAATCTCTCCAGCCCTTGGCTGGGTTTTGCCTGGGCTCTGCTTGTTGGGTGTGTACATATGTGTGCCTGTGTATGTGCATGTGTATGTATATGTGTGCATACATGCTTGCTGGGGGGGGTGTATGTGTGTGCATATGAGTGTGTGTATGTATGCGTGCAGGCTTTCTTCCTAAAGCTCCTTTCCTCTCTGCTTCCCTTATCGCCCTGTGACTTTGTATTTGGCTCCCTCACAGTGTCTCAGGTCTTTATCTGCTCCTGGCTTTGTCCTCCGATCAGCCTGTCTCTCCCTTCCCACACGAACCAATTCCATGAGACTGGAGGGAACCCAGAGCCGTTTAATCTGCTGCCTCCTCTCACCCCTCCCAGAGCCTGGCAGTCTCCCCCGGGCCCTCCAACCTGGCCATGTAGTTGGGAACTGAAAGCAGAGCCTACTCTCCATTACTGTTCCCCTTCCTCAGGAGCCCCAACAGCCCATATGGGGACGTGATTGGCCTCCAGGTGGACTACTGGCTGGGCCACCCTGGTGAGCGGAGAAGGGAAGGTGACAAGAGGGACGCCAGTTCCAAGAACACCCTCAAGAGCGTCTTCCGCTCAGTGCAGGTTTCCCGCCTGCCCCATGGTGGGGAGGCCCAGCTTTCCGGTACCATGGCAATGACTGTGGTCACCAAAGAGAAGAACAAGAAAGGTAAGTGACATCTGAGGCCAGGGACAGTCGGGGCCACCGGGGTTCCCCATCTCCTCTCAGGGCCTGGGACAGAATCTGCTTCTGGGAGATCTTTGGATGAAGGTGAAGAGCACATATATCATGGGGTCCAGCCCGGGGACCTGCATCACCTGCGAGACAAGGTCGTTCCTTCTTTAACAAAGGAAATGGATGTTCCCAGTGAGCAGTTGGTCCCTACCTGCTGAACATCAGCACCTTAGGGGCCAAGGCAGTTAGTGCTGCCATAATGTAGGGAGCCTTTCCAGCCACTACCCTCAGGGATGGACCATGTGACAGAGGAGGACATCACTGTGTCCCCATGAAGCAGAATGTTTGTTGTTTAAGAATTAAGAGGAGTACAGCCCATTTTGGATAAAATGGGGCACTTAAGTCACTAGAGGTAGAGTTGGGGGTGGCCTGGGTCCTATGCTCTGAGAGTATGAGGCAGGAATCCCCACAACCAGGCCAGGGCTAGGGCAGAGCTTGCTGCCGTCTGTTCTGCTGATTTGGCTGTGCACCTGCCATAGCAGACAAGTCTGCCAGGTGACCCATGGGCCCTCCCAGCCCCACGCATCGCCCAGCTGTCAGGGGCTTTCTCTAATCGCTGGACCCTTCCTCCTCAGAGCATTCCCAAAGCAGCTGGGCCCCTTTCTGTTCGTGCCTCTGTTCCACAGAGTTCCTCTTGAGGGCAAGCGGGGGACTGTGCCAGGCCAAAAGCCAGAGCAACAAGGGCAGGCCTGACAGCTCTATGTGTTCTCCTTGCTGCCCCGACATCCCTAGAACAGAGATGGTGCAGACACTCTGGTGTGGCCTCCCTCCTCCTAGCCGCAGCAGACTCAGCCCTACGTGGGTGCGAGTGAGTAGGCAGGAGCCCAAGGGCACAGGCTCCTTGCCCTACAGGCTACCTAGAACACCCAAGCTGGAAGGGACCTCAGAGACCCAACTGGCCCCAGGTCCTCGTTACACAGTTGATGATACTGAAGCTCAAGGAGAGGCCTATGCTGGGAGGGGGCAGGACTCAAAGATCCTGGTACGTGCTGCCTGCCTACCCAGAGCTGGGGAGAGAGGATGTCCATCAGCAGATCATCTCCCCCACCACACACACAACAGGAAGAGGGGCCGGTGGGGCTGAGAGAGGGGAGGGGGTGAATACTTTTCCAAGGGTTGTGACAGAGGTGGTTCTGCTTGCTTTCCAGTTCCCACGATCTTCCTGAGCAAGAAACCTCGAGAAAAGGAGGTAGATTCCAAGAGCCAGGTCATCGAGGGCATCAGCCGCCTCATCTGCTCTGCCAAGCAGCAGCAGACCATGCTGAGAGGTACGGGGAGACACGGGAGGAGGGGTGCTGGGCAGGGCGGGAAGAAGAGGGGCAGGGGACTCTGCGGGGAGGGAGGCGATGGCCCTCCCCAAGGGACCCTGGGGAGGTGGCCTTAGCAGCCCTGGTCACCCCCTCCTTCCCCTGTCACCCCAGTGTCCATCGACGGAGTCGAGTGGAGTGACATCAAGTTCTTCCAGCTGGCGGCCCAGTGGCCCACCCATGTCAAGCACTTTCCAGTGGGACTATTCAGTGGCAGCAAGGCCACCTGAGGGCACTATCTCCTGGCCACTCTCCCTCCTGGCACTGCCACCAGCCTCACCGCCTGCGGGCAGGGGGAGGCCAGCAGGCCTGGGTCCAGCGTCCCCTTTCCTGGCCCTGAGGCCTGTATCTCTCTTGCCCAGTCCTGAAGGACACTGCCAGTGGGGACGCTGCTCCCCTCCCTCCTGCTCAGTCCTCTCCCTCCCATTCCGGGCCGGGGCGTGTCGATTTTGCCTTTTGGCACCCATCCCTGGAATTGAGTCCTCTGGGCCTCCCTTCACCGACTTCCAGTCTCCCCACATGGCACCAGTTCCTTCCTGGAAATAGGAAACCTGGAACCCTGGCCCACAGCAGGGAATCCAGCCCTCCCCATCCCTCTGCCAGCTGCCCAACCTGCCCCCCCCTCAAGTGGGGCCCAGGGCCACTTCCCACTCCGGTGGGTTCTCCTAGTGTGGGATAGGAGGGACACCCTGAGCCCAAGGGACCCCCTCCCCTCCACAATCACAGGAGCAGCCCCACCCCTCCCTCACCCCCAGAACCGCATTTCTGTGGTGATGCCATGTATTTCTGGGGTGGAGGGGCCTTCCTGGTCTCCCCCATGCACGACTTCCTCACTGACCCCCAGGTCCCCCCTAGATGTCACGAGCATCCTTGAGTGTTTCTTTGGTTCTCTGCACAGCCAGTCTCTTGGTGGTTCCATGTGACTCGCTTGGGCACCAGTCGCTGTCCTTGTGGCTCCCCCTTGTTGATGACTCTCCTCCCTCTGCCTCCCACCCCCTGCCCTCCAGCACAGCCTGCCTCTTCCTGAACTCCAGACTGGGACAGATGGGAGGCAGACCCCCACCGGCATATTGTCTGTGACCCTACATCTCCCCGTGCCCACCATGTCCATTTGTGTCCCATTCCCTAGTGTGTTCTTCCCCACCTCCCACCTGGACAGAGAGCCCACCTTCCCAGCCAGGTCTCTCTCCAGCAGGCTCCAAACCCTCCCTCTTGCCATGGGGGTCTGAGCCAACTCCTCAGCCTCGACCATCAGCCTTCTCAGGAGAAGCTGAGCACGCAGGGCCGCCATCCCAGCCGCAGCCCTCTGTCCACCACCCCAGCACCTCCACAGCTTTACCGTTGCCCTCACCCCTTCTAGAAGTTTTTGCACAGAACTTCATTTTGAAAAGTGTTTTTCTCATTCTCCATACCTCCCCAAACTCCTCCAGCCCTTATACCCCTGCTCAGCCCTGCTGTCCAGAGCATCTCCTGGGCTGAGCTGCTCTCTTGGGGCCGGAGAGGGGTGGGGTTTGGGGGACTGAGTGGATGTTGGGTTTTTCATTCAATAAACTGGTGATTTCTTACCAACTAGCAAGGCTTGGGCTTCTATGCCTCTCACTGTGATGCAGGATCTATCCGACCCTCTCCCCTCTGCACAACACAGCCGACTCCTCTCAAAATCAACTCCTCTCAAATGGCTGGAAAAAGCGCATTCTCATTTCCTTAATTATAGAAACAGGCATGAAGCTGTCTTTCCCGGTATGAGGCAAGCAGAGGTCAGAAACAGAAATAACACTCTTCTCACACCAAAATAACCTTTTTTCTCTGGGACTCACCATCCCCAAATCCCACTTCCCAAGACAGTGACATGTCAAGGGCAGTTTCTGTCTTCTGATTGATAATTAGAACTTGGGTTCTTTCTGTCTACTAGGCTGATGTCCTGCCATAGTTTTTGGATGCTGGTGAAGTCTGAGGCCCAGGGGGAGAGGGTGGAGCTGGGGTCTGTCATTAGGTTGGCTTTCCTGCCTGCCATTAACTTAGAGATGGAACACAGTCACAGCCCCTGCTCTCTGGGTGCCTGGTTCTTTGCACACTCCCAGGAGAGAGGCCTGCACACCAACCTTCCTCTCGTGGTGAAGTGCCCAGAGATTGGGACTTGGCATCCTTGCCCTGCAGGACACAGCCACAGAGGAGTGTATGACCGGGTAGGATGGGCTGTCACTGGTTCCCCAAGCCCTGTGGTCTAATGACCTATTGGAGGGAGACTCTGGGACCCAGCAGTGTGGCCCTGCACCAAACTCTCTGAGCCTGAAACATGGAAATAATGCCTGCCTCCCAAGGGGAAGAGTCCAGTGAGGTCTATGAAAGTGTCCCAGAAATGCAGTCTGCATGTTAGTTACCGAACAAGTTCGGTTCGTGAGAGGAAATGCCAGAAGTCAGATTGTGTCTAAGGTGAGCTAGAGAAGATGTGAGTGTGGCCTCGGGGCAGAGTGGAAGCTCCAGGAGAGGCCTCCAGGGTGGGAGGCAGTGGGAGAGGGTTCAGGCAGTGCAGGGGCTGCGGGGACCTGGGGGCTCACGGGAGTCCCAGGCGGGAGAGGTGTGGGTCCAGCTTAGAACTGAGGAGACCGAGCAGATGATGGGAAAGATGAGGGTGAGGAAGAGGCATAAACCCCCAGCCTGCTGCGTCTGACTCCACATCCTGGGCCTCCCCTCCTCCCACCTCCAGGGCTTTGCTCTTGCAGTTGCCCCCTTTCTCCTGCTGTCATCTCTACCGGATCTTTCACATCTGCACACCAACACGCAGGAACAGCTCCCTGGTTAAAAACAACTTCTCTGCTTCTAGATCCCCTCTGACTGCCACGCCATGGCTCTGCTCCCTTTAAAGTGAGATTCTCCAAGTGTTGTTCATGCTCCCCGCCTCCACTTGGCACTCCTGCAAGCTTTTCTCCTCAACAGCCCCGTCAGAAGCTCCCTTACCAAGGTCACCAGTGACCTGAGTGGCCACATCCAAGGGTCTGTTTTCTTGCTTGACCTGTGTCCTGTACATGCCCACTGCCTGTTAGAATGACTGTCTCCACTTGACCTGTGGACAGCGCTCTGCTCTCCTTCCACTTCTCTGACCCGCCCTTTCTTGACCTCCCTTAAGTTACCCTCTTCAGCTTCCCAGCCTCAGAACACTGGGGAACACAGGGCTCTGGCCTCTGGTCTTCTCTCTCCCACACTCAGCCCTGTGGTATGAAATGCTCCCCTGTGCACAGACTTCTCCCTTTATTCTTCCATTCTGAGGCTAAACCCTTTGGAAGCACCACTGACTCTTGTCTCTCATACCCAACATCCAGTCCACCAGCAAATCCTATAGGCTTTCCTGAGACAGATCCAGAACCCAGCAGCTCCCTACCCCTCTCACTGCTGCTGTTATCTCTTGTCTGGATGTTCTAATAGCCTCTTAACTATCTGTGCTTCCACCTACTCTTCCTGTAGTCTGTTCTCCACACAACAGCCAGAGAGAGCTTTTTAAAATGTTAATCAGTCTGTGTTAAACTGTCCAATGGCTTTCCATCCCACTAAGAATATAATCCAAAGCCCTCATCATAACCCACAAAGCCTGTATGATCTGACCTCCTCGCTTGATCTCTCTTCTCACTCTGCCCTTCTCCCGCTGGCCTCTTTTACATGCCTCGGACACACCGGGCACGTTCTGCCTCGGGGTCTTTGCACAAGCTGTTGCACCTGCCTCTAGGTCCATGCAGCTTGCTCCCTCATTGAAGTCTTGGCTTAAATGTCACCTCAGAGAAGCCTTCCCTGCTCAACCTGTCTAAAATAGCACCTCCCTTTTCTCTCACCCTTCTTTATTTTTCCTTATTAGCACGTCTCACTCCTTGGCACTTAATTATTCATTTGTTTGTCTCTCCCCACTGGAGAGTAAGCTCCAAGAAAACAGGATTTTTTTTTTTTTTTTTTTTTTTTTTTTTTTTTTTTTTTTTTTTTTTTTTTTTTTTTTTTTTTTTTTTTTACCTGCTATATCCTTGGTATCCAGGATACTTCTTGGCTCATCATAGGTACACAATGAATATCTGTTGACAGAGTGAATGAAGAGGCCTGTGCTGCTAGAATGGAGTCCCCAGTCCAGATGCACCACTCAGACACTTTAATGCCTCAGCCCCAAGCATACCTGAGTTTTCTCATAGGCCCTGGAGTAAGAAGATAGACTCCAAAGAGAAGGAAAAAGGTTGTGTAGGAATGGTTTCCAGAATTCCAAAAACAAGGCAACTCCTATCTACACATTGAGATGGCTTGCTCAGTCCTCAAGGGTGAAAGCTGGACTGGGCTGCCAGAAACATTCTCTAAAGACGAAGGATGGCATTTGGGTGCAGAAGGTGGAAGGACCTCTGTCTAACCTGTATACCAACTCTAGGCTGGTTTTATTATTAATTTAAAAACAAACTTCTATTTTAGAATACTTTTAGACTTACAGAAAAGTTACAAGGATGGAACAAAGAGTTTCTGTATCCCCTCACCTAGTTTTTCCTGTTGTTAACATGGTATGTTTATCCGAACTAATGACCCAACATCGACACATTATTATAAACTAAAGTCCATATTTAACTCCAATTCCTTAGTTTTTTCCTGAAGCCTTTTATGCATTCCAGAATCCAAGATATCCAGTATCCAAGATACCACGCTACATGTAATCTTTTGGGCTGTGACATTTTCTTAGACTTTCCCTAATTTTGATAACCTTGACAGTTTTGAGGATACTGGTCAGGTATTTTGTAGAATGCCCCTCGACTGGAATTTGCCAGCACATCATGCCAAGGGTCCCTGCCATCAACACGATTTGTCAGCCAAGGTAGTGTTGACTAGTAAAGTCACACCCCCTTCCATACTATGCTCTTAGGAAGGAAGCCACTAAGCATAGCCTACACTTAAGGAATGAAAGGTTTTCCTCGATATCCAGTATTTGGAATTCTTCTAGATAGCAGATTTCAGATCCCTGTTTTTAAACTACTTCTCATCACCCACTGCCATGTCCGGGGATGGACGGCACGGACAGCCCTCTCAACATCACCCGAGGGCATTTTTCTTTAGTCAGCCTGCTGCCAGAGTGCTTCATGTGGTTTATTTCATGGACTACTTCAAGCAGCCCTAGGAAATCAATCCAGCTGATACTTCCTTGTTACCAAAGAGGAAGCTCAAGGTCAGAGAGCTCCCCCTACCCTCTCTGTCCCAACTCTAACTCTCATTTTTAAGCATTTACATGACTTGAATACTCACAGACATCTCAAACCTAGCACGGCCCAAACAGAACTCTTGATTTCCCTTTATCCTCCCCAGTTTTGGTAATAACACAGGATCCATCCTGTTACTTAAGCCAGAAGCTGCCTAGTTGTCCTGTGTCACCACAGTGACCCCTGTCCATTCTGCCTCTCAGAGAGTTCCCAAACATAAGCCAGAGT